ATTGTTATTTTTTCTAAAAAAATTATTTTTTTCTCTCATTGACGTTATTTTTTTACTCTTATGGACGTTTTTTTTTGGTACTGAAATATGACAACTTCAAAAATACAATGAGTTTAAAAGTTACCTCCAGTTGATACAATGTGAAAATTTTATTTTTCAATTTTTGTGGTTTCACGAGGAAATAAACAAAATTTCATAACATATAACATAAAGTTATATAAAATCAGCAAAAATTCCACAACAATTTTTTTATAATCAAGGAAAAAAATTAGAAGCGATTGTCGTCACATCTTTTAATTAACGGGGATCATTGCAGAATTAGTTGAAGTATTTTTAGAACAAAAAAAAAAAAAAAAGAAACGGTCGGACTTCGAGAAAATTACGGGTTTTTCCAAAAAACTAAAAGATTTCATATATCTGGGATTCTGAAAATTTATTCATATTTTTTTTCGAAAACTACATTTAAAAACAAAAATTTTGAAAAAAAAATGTTCCCGAGCGGTCAATTTTTGAAAAAGTTCTGGCAATTTAAAAATAAAAGAGTGGTTTTTTTCAAAAATTCATAACTTTTTTTGTGTCGGGAAAAAAAATTTGAAGAAATTCTGAAAAATAATTTTCGGGGGGTAGAAAAAGATAGAAAATTTTCAGCGAAATCAAAGGGGGTCAGGTAAAAAATTTGTCGATTTGACATGGAATGACCCATATATATATATACACTTACAATTACTGAAAGTAAAATAACAAAATAATAAGATTTAATTATTGATGATAAAGTTTCATAGGGAACTTGGACATGAAAAGAAATAGAACTTAATTTAATTAAGTTGGACGTTTCGTCCCTTTATTGGGACACTTTTACAGCAACTTAATCATTAAAGCTCAGCGTCTTTTTTTATTTATTTCGACATACATTTCTTTTTATAATATTCCAAAACACAATACATCTAAACTTCGTTAGTTTGATCGTTATTATTTAAAAGCCTCAACAAAACTTTATCATCAATAATTATAATTATGGACGAGAGAAAATACTAAATAAATAAGATTTAATATTGATACCATTTTCTACATTTTCTTCGATAATATTCTCGTCTCGATTAATCGGTGATTTTTGATAATCCAGTTTCCTTTCATCGTTCTTAACTTGACAACTTTTGGCAACTTTAATTTTCTCATTCCTATTCGAATCGTCTTCTTCGTTGGTAAGAAAATCTTCTTCCAAATTTTCTTCGTCGTAACTTTGAAGAATTCTACGTTGATGTTTTTTAACAATGAAACATTTATTCTCATTATCCGACAATGATCGATTATTACTTTCCTTTTCTATTATCCAGAATAATCGTCTTTCTGGACTTTTACGTTTTATTACTTGTTCACTTTCACTTAGAACATTTTTATTATTATTGGTATTATCGTAATGAAGAAGTTTTGCTTGTTGTGCTATCAAATCATCGACGTTAGTTAATTCTTTGTAATTATTTCTTTTCCAATAATTATTAGTGTCTTTGTTTGCTTTATCATAATACGAATCTTCTTTGAAATTATTATCTTTATTAATATTTTCTTTGCTACGTTTTTTACGTTTATATAAATTCATTTCCCTTTCGTTGAAAAGATCATTCCTCAAGTTTGTTCTTTTATTTCTTAAAAGTATTACACTTCTATCTTGATTTTTTATATTGTTCAGTGATTTATCAGACTCAAACATTTCATCTGGTGATTCAGCCTCGTTCAACCAAGATAATTCTATATAAATGAATAAATATTTTTCAGTTAAAATCATTATTCCAATAATATTTATATTTTCATGTAAAAATTAGAAAAACAATATGCAAACAAATCCTCACGTACTCGCATTGTTAACATTTCCGTTCACGAGAGCTGCTGCTGATGATAGTTCAGTATGTTTTTGGCTTTTCGATTGTAAAAACGATGGATCTTTCTTGCGTTTATTTTTACTAATCCTTTTCAACGAATCTTCCTCGGTTTGTTTTTCGTTTTCCTTATTATTTAGGATAGCTTTTTCTATAGCTTTATTTCTTTCTGAATTTTCATTTCTTCTTGTTAGATTTTCTTTTAATTCTAATACGGTACGTTTAAGTTCTTCCAACGATTCTTCGGTGTTAGGGGATTCTCTTTTATTTTGCATATAAATCTTGAGATCTAAATTTTGAGATCAAATTTTTTGGTCATTTCTTATCATTTACCTTTTTTTTTTTTTTTGTATTTTTAGTTACTTATATTAATATTTGTTTTAATATGCATAAGTCTATGTACTGTTCAAAATTACTGATTATACTTTTGTCAAAAACTAACTTATGTAATTTACATTAATTTAGGAATATCATAAATTCGAAACCTGAAATGTCGTTATTCGTATAAGGGATTACATAATCACGAATCCATCGATTATCTCTGTTACTTCTTCCATATCGAAGATCTTTATTAGAATTCAAGGGATCGTTTAAAGAAAAAGTTCTAAGATCGTTCAATGGTTTCATAGTATCTCTTTTATCGATGATACCTTTATTCGTTCTAAATTTGCGAAAGAAAGAAGATTTTTATATATAAAAGATTCTTTTGTAAGACTAGATTTCTATATAAAACTTCTATATACATATATTACACGCATGAATTACATATTTTAAGTGTTTATTGTGATCAAAATTTTGGAAAATTCTATTTTTTCTTTATTTATTGCATAAGTTTATTATAATATGTATACTTATATATT